AAGATGCAGGAGGTGCTTTCCATTCTTATCCGACAGTCGATTGAGCACGTTGACTTTGGTCTTGCCATGTTTCAGGCATCTTTGGCGGTTCACGAGCCCATGTCTGAGAGCCACAAGAAGGGAAAGGTACCAGCGTTCGTCGCCGAGTTCTGGAGTTCAAAACATGTTAGAGAGAAGATTCTCTTCCCAGTGCGCCTCCGATTCCCGTACGAGTCTCTTCCTTTCTTAAGAGTAGCCCGAGCATTGTCCGGTATTCCCAATTTGTGGAATGGATACCTCCGGGAAATGCAAACCTACACACAAACCCTGCCACCACGCTTTCAAGACTATGAAAACGACGCGTCGAACGAAAATATCATCTACCTCGCCTCACCTTTGGTTTTGTTCGCCCCTCGTCAGGATGTTCAATGTATCACAGATGAGCAAAGCGGCGTGATCATCCCGCCTGGAACTATGGGTCAAATCATCTCGGAAGGTAGGACACCTCTTGTTGTTATGTGGGAGTACCGTTATAGCCCTCTTGGTCTCTTTGGAAGAGTTTTGGAGGTTGCTGTTCTTGGTGCTCCTGCTGGTGGTGCTGGTGAGGTTGTCACCTATGGACGGATCTCGGACGGACTCAGCGAGAAGGAGCAGGTCACCGAGATTATTCATATCCTTGGATCAATTATGAATAACCTCCTGGCGAATGGAGTCACCGCCCAGGTATCGGAGGAGATCATGCTCCTATTGGGTGATGCAAGTGATATCGTTGGCAGGAATAGGGATGTCGTTTCCCTTGTCCTCGATATTCTGGAACAAGACATTTGTGAAGCACAGCAAGGAAGAGCCGCCTCAACGGACGCTGTTGTGACCGGCATCGAATTCACCACTGCCCTTGCCAGATCACTCCCAGGCCGTGTCTGGCCATTCCTTGCCCGATCCGCCCTCTTGGAGCGCCATGGTCATGGTGGAGCCCTGTCTGCCATTGTATCAACTCTTGAGGTCAGCAAGGGTGATTATTCCTTTACATTGGCTGCTTTGGATCTCTTCCATCATCTCGTCGAAGAAGCTTTGCATACCTGTGTGTCGACACATAATGATCAAGCCTCAGAGAGAACACCCGGAAGAAGCCTTATGGTCTTGTCGGGTAATAATGGCTTTGCTGGTAAAAATGGTTCGAACATGGGTGTTAGCAGGAGCGTGCAGGCTGAAATTTTGGCGGAGTTTACTAGATGGGCTATTGAGGTCTTTGAGTCTTACCGTGGATGGAGATATAACACGGGAATCAACCATAGGTTGCAAATTGGTATGCATCTTGTGATAGTTTTTTTGACTACGGTTACTAATCGCTTTCAGGCCGCAAGATTGCCAGGACTTTCAGCATAATGCTCGACTCGGTCTATGGTGTCGGCGAGGTGTCAGAAGAGAGCCAAAAGATCACAGCTGTTCTCGAACTTGCTACAGAACAGATTGTCAGAATCTTCCTTGCTGATGCTGTTGGGTCTTTGTCTGTTCCTCCGTTTACTGGTGCTATTGTTGATGGTGTCGATACGCCAGAGACCTCGTTACACACAAAGACCTTTGAGGCATGGGTTGCCCACACGGCCACTATGTTGGAGTTTGCAAGTGCTCTTATCCGTGTCCGGATGTACCTCAAGAGGCCACCATCCTTGCTCGAGAACCGCCTTTACCAGGAGTCATATGCTATTGCCAAGATGTTTGCCATCCATCCAGCCTATAGGATCCCTTCATTGGAGTTACTGGAAACAATGGTCGAAGCATATGGCAGCTCAGTTTCGGCGCCTAATGAGGAGCCACCTTCACTTTTGGGCCATCTTGGATCTGATTGCGCCTCAAGCTTAATTGCTTCGTTCTCTGGCCTAGACCTTCCAGAACCGAACTTGGAGATTCGGATATGGAACTTTATTTCCGCTGTGGTAAGCAACAGGCAACAGGGAATGTCGATACTCATCCTCAATGGTGAGACAATCACCTTTGCTGGATTCAAGGGCAAGGGCAGTGAAGAGGGAAAGGATAAGCAGCCGGCGAAGAAGAACTCGATTATCACCACCGCCTTGGACGCACTAGCAAACATCCGTGAGCTTCCTACCAGCCGGGCATTGGCCATGTTGGAGACAGTGGTCCTTGCTCACAACTTCTGGTCATTAGCCATGCCTGATTTGGGAAATCATCCAAAACTCCTGGACAGTCTCATGAACTATATCCCGACAGTTCCTTTTGACTTCCCAGTTAACGATTCCATCGAGACACTTACGGAGAAGGCCAACAAGATTGAGATTTGCTCGCAGATCGCAAAGCTGTTCACAATGTACATCCACTCACGGCGAGCCAAGTCACGAGATCCGGGATTCATTGGGAAGCTTGTACCCAATCTCAAGTTCTACTTCGATTCGGCAGTTCGTATTTCCGGATACAGGCCTTCTCTACACGGGCTGTTAAAGAGCAACATCGAGTCGAAATGGCCGAAGTTGGACATTGCCAACCTGCGGAGGACAAAACTCACGAATCAGAACTATGGGCCAAACTTTGTCTATGACCTGGGACTGGCGGCTAAGATCCTCGGGTTCCATCCAAGTTGGGCTATGACTGGTAGCAGCTTCAAAAAGGAACTGGAAAACGCAAATGTCAACTTGTCGATCATCGATTCACAAGTGACGCTGTTGTACTCCTGGAAGTTGTTGGCGTTGGAGCTGTGCAACCTCTTGCCAAAGTCGCCGGGATTGGAGAAGGCCTTGGTAAAGGTGGTCATTGACAACCTTAATGCCAATTGCGATTCAAGCCAGACTCCTGCACCGGTATTTGAGAGCGTTGTGAGCGAGAGAGCTTCATTTGCCTTCTTGCTCTTTAGGAGACTCCAGGAACAGTACAAGAAGGAGAACTATGGGTTATACTCGGACGTTCTCCCAACAGTATGGAAGAGCATCTACAGTTCAAGACATGCATTCGAAGCCAGCGTCCGGAACTCACAACTCGGCTACTTCCGTCCTCTCCTCAGAATCCTCTACATGGCTCTCGTTATTACTGGCTCTCGAGATGACGCCAACGATCCTGCCCTCGCCTCTCTCGTAACCGACATCCTTTCTCTCGTTGTCGCTCAAGGCGCCAAAGAAATGTCACAAGCCATCCTCCAACACTCCGAATCCGCCCAGCCGGAAGATCTTGCCCTCATCACTGCCATCCTCCAAGCCGCACTTCATATTCCCAAACTCGATACCATGCATACCTCCCTCGTCTCTTATCTTCAGGAAGCGAATACAGTGGCTGCTATCACAACACTATACTCGTGGTCTCATGCCCTTACACCGCCAGACCCAATCTACGGAGAAATCGCCATTATCTTCCTCCTCGAGCTCTCGGGCTCAAGGGTGCTGGCAGAACATCTGGTGCAGGAGAACGTCTTCTCTTCGCTCCTCGCCTCCGACGTTTCCTACGAGTTGAAGTCAAGCTCATTATCACCGATCACAAGCCCTCGACTCTACGCCATTTGGGCCCGCGGAATTCTTCCTCTTTGCGTCAACCTTCTTGTTGCCATTGGTCGTCGGATGTTCCCAGACTTACACACTGTACTCGGCTTCTTTACTGAGCAAATCGCCGATGTCGTCAAGCACTGGGAAGGCAAGCCCGACTACGTGACCGTCTCCCAGGTTCGGGAACTTACCACACTCGTGGTCCTATTGAGAGCACTGGATGCTATTGAGGGAAATCTTGTTGCTGGATGGGACAAGACAGCCGTACAGGAGGGTGTTGATTATCTGCTCCAACACAAGAAGTATCTTGCTACGCTGGTGGTGGCGACAACGGTGGAGGAGGAAGAAGAATTGGTGGTCAAGGATGGTGTGAGAGAGGTTGAGCAGGGGCTTTGTAAGAAGGTCGTGGAGGGATTGGAAGAGGTTGCAGCAATCTTGGGAGAGAGAGAACGGAAAGAGTAGGATGATGGAAGCTGATATCTGTCTATGTTTTGTGGATTTTTGTTTTAGTAATAGATTGAGACGTTGGGTGGATATCGCCGGTTATTTATATGTATTAGTTTTATTCCTTTTGTATTGTATTTGAATCCAACAGCTCGGTTTATGTTTAGTTATCTCATCTGCCTCATGTTTTCGTTAACCTTTATGCTAAAGACTGGACAAGTCCCTAGAGCCCTGAACGGACGACCAGTTAGATCGGTTGCAATCCAAAGCGCGAAGGCAAAATAGCGCCTTTATATAGGAGACCAAAAGATTATGGAGACTGCATGAGTCGAACACGCGACCTCTCGCAGATTCACACTGGCAGTACCTCGATTCAAGTTCTTCGATGACAAGGTAACATGCGAAGCGAGCGCTCTACCAACTGAGCTAAACCCCCGACGATGAGAATTCAACAGACAGTACTTCCTATTACCTGTTTACTTTAAGCACGAACCGCGGAGGGCCTTTCATACAGTTCCATTTACTGCTATGTCCATGGACCAGTGGGCTGCAGCGTCTGTAAGAGCTTCAAACAAAGCAAGGTTTGCCGAGAACTCGGTCACGGCTAGTAGCATAGCTTAGCAGCGTTTTTAACGTCATAGAAGGGGTAAAGCGACTGATTTCAAGCGACAGCAACATAGCACAGGGGAAGTGCGCCGGGCTCATAACCCGGAGGTCCCCCGATCGAAACGGGGTGTTGCTAAGTTCAATCCTTTTGCTGGACGTTTCTTTCGAAATGCGCCTTTCCATATTTTGTCGCGGGCTTGATATCCGGTTGGTCGTCCTTGTCTTTGACACATACCGGATCGGCGTACTTGCATTGTTACATGATATGTATTGCTCAAAGGCCTGCAATGCGATCATCCTGCATGTTCCGCCTCCAAATATCGTGCTCCGAATTCCTGACGTTGCCCATCTGACCTCCTCCTCCTCATCAACTTTAGATGCAACAAGGCGAAAAGGGCACTCGGAAAAATCTCGAACGAAGAGTACTTAGTACTGAGTAGATCACATTAACTATGTAGACATGTTGATGAAGCAGAAAGACTTCTGGTGTGACATGAAATAACATTATTCGTAAGTAGTAGCGCTCCTCAGGCTCGAACAACAAAACAACAAATGTACAGCAGAATTCGGCACTCGCTGGTTCCCGGCACCACTTGCCTGATCCACAACAACAAACCACAACAAATTAACTACAACGTATGCCGATTCCCGGGAATATACAACCCATCACAAACAACGCTCACATCTCCACCATCCCCACCAGTCCCGCCGTCACCAACACCCGCCGATCCCGACCTCACGAGACCCGCCCTAACCTCTTCTGTATCCCTCTCTGGTTCTCTTTCCAATTCCACCCTGCTATGGTTCTGAGCTCCGCTCATCATAACTTCCACCATATCTCCTCGAAAGATACCGCCAAATGTCTCCGATGAGTCGCCAATCTCGCGATCGAACCATTCCTCCTCCTTCTTGCGCCTGAGAACGATGTTTCTCCACTTCCAAGCGAGCCAGAGCATGCCAGCAACAACAAAGGCGGCGAAAATGGAGAGAAATATGACGGCTCCCAGCGGGATGTGATAGGGGTGTGGATTTTCGTCATCGTCGTCGTGATGGTCTGCGTCTTCATGATCCTCGTTGTCCTCGTCGAGGCCATGCTGACGCGGCGTTTGGATGTTTGGTGGTAGTATGAAGGTCCCGTTGGTGAAACTCGGGTATGCCACCGTGGTAGAGACGACGGAAAGTAGTCGAAATAGGAGACAAAGGATGATGCTTGGTAGGGAAGACATGGCGGTGCTTGCTGCGGGAGACTGCTTTGGCCGATGCCTTGTCGTTTCAGGATGAAGTCGAAAGTTTGGTTGACGATATTGTATGGGAAATGTTGAATGGGAAATGGTGAGTTGGGGTCTTTTGAAGAGAAGTATTTTCTGACAGCTGGATCCGGATCCAGGAGGTTCATATAAGTGTACAAAGATTTATCAAGGTCAGAATGAGAATTGGAGCTGATATATGGTACAGGATGTCCCTTTAATATTCCAACTTTTGTGCTGATCATTACAAGACCTGCCTCGGCGTTATCTGTTCCTGCATGCAGCTCAAAGGCGACGATACGAATTTCCCCACTTGTCTCTCACCAGATCATCAAATGGTAGGCACTGTCATTATGAAGTATCTCGACACTGACCTATCTTTAGCTATGCAGGAGTTGCTGCTCCTCACGACAAGACGCACTAGCATCTCGATAGCTTCCCCAAGCCTCAGAGCGACCCGAATTTGGTTTCGTTAGATCCTAACGATCGATTCCATCATACACTTGGCAATGCTTGATTGTGATAGAGATTACCGCACGACCAGCACACGAGTTGTCTCTTCCTGGTATCGTGGAAGCTTCTTCCAATCATTCGTTCCTTTTACAGTCGTGTTTGCAAGCCTCTAGGCCGTACAAAGTTGGGCTGAGGTGTGGTCTTGGCGACCGGTGGGCTGTGTCGTCCTGCATACGGTCCGGCAAACATCAACCTTGTTTTAACGTCTAACGTTGAACATGATGGTGGAAAGCTTATTTTCGATTCGAAACACGGCCAAGAGAGACGGTGTATGTTACCGGCCGAACTGGAATACCCCATTGTCGCCGTCATCAACACCTAGAGTCCAATCATTCACTACGGTCATGATGTCGAGCCCTAATCATGCAGTATCTCGACAACTTCAGTGTCACCGAGAAATGGAATGAACAGCAACCGTCGGTTCTGGCTTCCTTCGGATCGACGGAAGCTTATCAAGCCTCCGGCGGGGCGGTGTATAGCCATCCATGAAAACCCCCAGTATGGGTTTCGGTGGTATATATTCGGACTAGACGACTGTCATGCGCAGTTGCATGCCAGTGTTGGATACATTCCCATGATAGTAACCCCATTTACTTAGGTTCTTAGCAAATGTATAATCCTGTTAGCATTTATCGCTCAGGCTTTACTGACTGCAATATTATCTTATGTTATGAATCGACGTCACTTCTGACATATTTCATCCTATATCCCGTCTCAGGTAGCATTGGGCACGGGAGATACGAGCGAGCCGGACTCCTCTTCCCGTCTCGGCGTTCCAATTGAGGAACTAACCAAGATACCAGCACAGTAGGCATACACGACTCACAGCCTCGTTTACTCTCAACTTGGAACTGCGTCAAGCCTTGAACTCATGTCAGAAAGCCTCTCCCGGGTTATCCATCCTTCTCATAAAACTTGTTTCAAGAATCTGATCCGCCCTAGCCCAGCTATTTAGGAATCTTGCGAGCACTCGAGTGGTATTTGAATTGGAGTCAGGCAACTGGGTTCCATTTAGTCATCGGTACTGACGCAAATAATTTAGACACATTCGAATTGGCAAGTATACTGGCCCACTAGAGCCAGATCCAATACGAAAATTCGAGCGTAACATGGTTACAAGCATTTCTTCGACGCTACTTGGTCTTACTATTGATCAAATAGTAAACATACAGCACCAAAGATTCTCACGTAGTCACCCACCGCAGTAGTTATCTGGCGAGGAAGTTTACTGTATACTAGGAGGACGGAGGTGATCTCGTACTTCTTCGATCTATGCCGTAAGCCAGAAACTACTTAAAGTTGAAACCGGGCTCCCCATTCGATCAACCCCCAAAAGGTCATCGAAAGATTTGACACTAGAGCATGAATTTTGATGAAGCAAAGTAGGATGCCCATGGCCAACGTATCCGGAAATGGCTACTACAAACCATTGGAGTGGAAAACGTGCGTCTAAAGAACTCCCCACCCCTTCCTCTCGCAGTATTCCTCAAAATTTTCTAACAAGTACCTCTCTGGAGGTTCGCTATAATACTCAATCTTTAGCCTCCGTTTTCTTTCAAACGTCTCATACGCCTCGTTTTCCTTATACCTTTGCGCCTCCTCCAGACCTCTGACAACATCCCAATTGACACCTTCCTCGGCCAAATATTTCAGGAGGAGAAGCTCCAACCGCTCTGATCTGAACCTTTCATTACCCACGAAGAGCAGTAAGAACTCTTTGTTCCTCCTCATTACTCGATCCATTTCGCGTAACAATAGGAACTCATCCATATCCACGTTCTTTTCATTGTAGTTTAAAAGAACAGAAAGCTGGTCAATCTGCTTCCGAAAGGAGATCTCAAGCAACATAAACTGCTCCCGTCGCATTAAACCACAACTTGCCCTCTGAGCGATAGAGATCCGATGACTTCCGAGATAGCGCTGGCCCAAGCACATAATCATAGAGATGAGGTCACAGCTAATACTATCCTCGAATTCATAGTCTGCTCGTCCTGTGCATGACAGACGATGTGCAAACAAAGAGTCGTCGCTGAGGGAAGCATAATATGGATAAAGCTTCTGGACATAGAAGAGCAATGATTCCTCTATGATTGAGCGAAAATTATCGTGGAATTCCCGCTCCCCATACCCGCAAAAGCCCAAGTATTCGTAAAAGAGGTTATCGACATCCGGGTCGGTTTGATGTTCCCAGCTTTCGGAAGGGTTGAAGCGTATCGAGTCGCTCGGTAAATCTGAGAAATGATTCTTGATGATCTCGTGGACATCCTTGGAGATGTATGATGGAGAGAGTCGGAATTATGTCGTCCTTTTCCAACCAGACAGGGTCGTCGCTTCTATCGGATTCGTACCAGTCGTCGCCATACGCCTGGGCGGTGTAGCGGTCAGCGCAGTCTAAATCAGCTCCACAGAGGGGTTCCTTACAGTTTCCGAAAGCTCCGAGGAGGGCGTCTCACTCTGTTTCAAAGTGTCGTCCCGAGCCAGTTCGTCTGCAGCGTTTTTCGACATTCCGCAAGGCGAGAAGCTGATCCGTCTTTGGGCGACGTTGTCGGAGCTGAGAAGAGAGGGGTTGCAAATTTGGATCTTGCAGCATCTCGCGTGGCCCGATTCAGGGATAGTTCATGTCAGCCATCGAGGCTCGCCCAAATTAATTGACAAGGCCTTGAAGATGCCTGATGTGGTGGAACCAGCCGATTGGTTCACGAACCTCAATATTAGCCTCGAGACCAGTCTGTTGTGAGTGTTTGAGCGGTGATTGTAGAAGTGGTTGTGAGGGAGGGTGGGAATATTTTGGATGTAGAATGCGCTAACCTTTTTGGTAAAAATCTTGAGTGGCCGATTGCGTAATGCCACCCAAGCTGCCAAGGGATATGAATATTTTTACCAGAAAGGTTAGCGCTTTCTACATACAAAATATTCCCACCCCTCCATAGACACTCCACCTCGCTCTCCTACAACAGACTGGTCTCGAGGCTACCTCAATATCACCCATCCATCTCATATACATATTCTCAAGCTTGCGGAACTGTTTCTATGGCTCTACACAGAACTGACAGGACGGAAAATTGCTTTGCTTGTCCAATCGATATGTCGTTCGTGAAGAAACCAGAGTGTTGAATTCATGAACGTGGCCACCTGGTGGACTTTGATAGACGTGCAAAAGTGGTGGATTTGTATCATGTGCGCCGGTAAGACATGCTTTTGGTTCGAGCTGAGCGTTGAAGGTTGAAGATTTCTGGATCTGTTCGTTGGGGGTTGCTGAGGAATGAGAGGAGAATGAAGCCTCAGGACTGAAATGGTCATCATGTGACCAAACGGAGCTTCCCGGCGAGGAAGGTTCCTGAACTTTTTTGCGATGACGACAAAGGCAGGAATAAAGGCAGACCTCAATTGATCAAACATCGTCCACCCTACATCCTTTCTCGCATTTCCTCTATCCCCATATCCCCGGCAGCAAATCACTCGCAGTTTGGCTGCTGAAATAGGATTCTAACAACCCTGCAGCGCAGTTTACAATGTTCAGACAGAACCCTGCAAGCCTTCTCTTCTTCGAATTCCGTGCGCGAAGCAATTCGTCGGTGGGTACTTTCTATGGCTGTATTCCACAGATTTTCTGACTGTCGGGTGTCTTTTCTCGCATGGTTTAAAGAATGGATCTTCACAACAGTGATGTTGAATTCATTTTACCTTCCAACGGACTAGCCATCCTACCTCGACCGTCCCTCGAAAGCAGCCCCAAAGAAGCTCAAAGATTCAGCGCTACACTCTCGATCTCGCCGCTTATACGGCTTGCCATATACCTCCCAGAGGATGTCCCTTTACGACCACCACCTCGACTGGTATTTACTCCGAGAAGCAGAGCTCGATAACGACGTCAAAGCCGGCATCATTCCCGCCAGAGCAGCGGAACACTTTCGATCGGAACTTCGAAAGTATGAGGAACTCAGGCGAACGCACGACGAACAAAAGCTTCAGCCTGGGTACGATCCTCATTCCTGGAAAGTGCATAAACGCCAACTTCGCGAGGAGCAGCGTTGGAAGTGGAAAGCAGACGAGGCGTTCTCTGTTGCTGATTCGGTTTCGAGCACGGATGAGATTGATCAGATGCTGTGGAAAGATTCGGAGGTTGTTGACCAGGACGAGGAGGAGAATGAGAAGGAGAGGCAGCGGCTTCTGGATGCTCAAAGCGGACGGGACGAAGAGAGTGATGATGACGATGATTCCGATTACCATGGCGGTGCATACTCGCCAGTGTTCGGATATGAAGACGAAGAAGACGATGAGGACGATGAAGACGATGACGAAGATATTTCACTTCAGATGCCTCAACCAGTTACAGCTTCAACAAGCGCCCCTATTGCAACAGCCACCGTCTCAACCACGCCGGCTTTGCAAGCTTCCACGACTGTACCATTTACTCCTGCTCATGTCCCTACAGATCCTTCAAGTGTAACAACGCAGAACTCGGCTCTAAATGCTGACGAGGATGAGGATGAGGAAGAGGATGAAGATGGGGATGAGTATGTGAATGAAGACGACGATGATGACGATTATGATGGTGATGATAATGGCGGCGATGAAGAGGAGGAAGACGATGAAGACGAGGTTATACAGACAACTGCTCCCAGTTCATCAATCGCAATGCCTCGGGAGAAGA